CGGTGGTTGAGTTCAACAAGTTTGTTGAATATGGTGGTTGTGTGGTGTGTGGTGTGTGGTGTGTGGTGTGTGGTGTGTGTTGGTGGGAGTGATGAGTGCTTGGGATGTGTTGGTGGTTTGGTGTGTTTGTGGATTTTGTGGTGTGATTGCTTGGGATGTGGTTGGGGATGTTGGGGTAAAGGTATCTTTGGGTGTGGATGGGATGGCGGTTGGAGACACGATTGGGGTAATGGGTTTGGTCTGGGTGGAGGGTGGGGTTGTGTCCATGGCAGTGGGACTCTGTGGCGCGATTGTTTGGGATGTGGTTGGGGATGTTAGGGTGAAGGTGTCTTTGGGTGTGGATGGGATGGCGGTTGGAGACACGATTGGGGTACTGGGTTGGGTCTGGGTGGAGGTTGGGGTTGTGTCCATGGTGGTGGGACTCTGTGGCGTGCTGGTTGGTGGATTAACAGGTGTGGTGGATTGTGGGAGAATTGAAATTGAATTGGTCAATATGGTGGATGGTGAGTTTGATGGTGTTTTGGTGAACAGATTGTTTTCAAAGTCAGGGTCTGATATGACGAGTAAACGTTGTAGCGTCTCTATTTCAAACCCAATCTGACTGTGTTCAGCATCCATTTTTTAATTTACTTGGATGGATGTCTTCAAATATCCTGATAAATGAATTTGGGTTGCATTATGAGTGAATGTGTTGCAGTATTGTATATGGACATGAACCTCATACATGTTTCTGAGGTTGGATGTGGGGCAAGTTAGTTGATATGGAAAAATGGTTATGAATCTGTAAATAAGTTTATTATTCGATTCATTGTTCAGCCCATGTGGCCATTATTTATTAATTAACTAATTCATTAACTAATTAATTAAACCTTTTCCAAGTCCTTGGCCTATTAACATCAAAACATGCATTAACTTTTTGAGTGTAGTGATTATAGAGTTTAAGTTTCAGTGACTGAATAGAGAGAGAGGATTTTATTTCTCCTGGCAGGCTGTTCCAAAGTGGCACTATCCTATTGAAAAATAGGTTTCGGAAAGAAGATGTTCTGCAACGGTTTTGTCGGTATGAATCAGTAGAGCTAAGGCGAGTGTGGTGATTAGTAGAATTGTCCAGAATATAGTCTTCAAGTGTTAAATCATAATAACCAGCTTTGCATTTATTAAAAAAACGTAATATCTTTGCTTTCGAACCGGTATGAAATAGGCAGTAGGTTAAGTTTCTTTAAACGGTTGGTGTAAGATGAGTCGAAGTCTTGAAGGATATACTTGTTTGCTCGTCTTTGGACACTTTCAAAACAAAGAAGATCCCTAGATGTTGTTTGGGGTGCCCAAATTAAATTTCACTGCCATAACACAGGTGTGTACG